ATCTTTCTTTTAGTATTTATGTAAGAACACAAAACCAGTAACACAAAGCAAATGTGAAAACCAGCACAAAGAGACTTAAGGGCACTCAGATGCCTTTACCTGTTACCTGTTGAAATTCGGGGTCTGGCGTTCTGTGATAAAGTCAGCAGTCACTCGGCTCTATCCTCACTCTGGGTTCTTGGCTAGCTTTGTGTTAGCATGCTAAATTCTGTTAGCAGTAAAATGTGGTTGTTTCTGTCCTGGACACAGTTTTTTCTACCATAGTGCTTCTGTCCTGAAAAATTAAAAATAATAACTATATCTCCACTTTAGACTGCTACACCATTTTTACACTAACTGTATTCAGTAGATTGTAGCGAAATTCAGCAGGAAAAAAACCCAGATTTGTGTGTCTTTTATGTGTCGTTTTTTTCTTTCTGTTCACTGGCCATGCAGATGACTAAAAAGTAACAACAGAGCTGTAACTTTAATTATATTAGTACTCATTAGGAGCTCAATAAATGTGCTTCTAGTGAAGTTTTCACCAAATTGCTCATAAACTGCTAAAAATTGTATCAAACATAAGTTGTGCAATGGTATTGAAAACCCATAAATCCAAACAATGAGCTGGAAGACACTTGAGTACTTTGTGAAAGCTGAGCAGTAATTTGATGACCAAGAAAGTGACCCATTCAAAGTATCCACTCATTTGCGCCAACGTTAACACCAAATTGATTTAGAATGTTTTAGGAATTCATTCTTACTTTTCACCATTAAACTGTATAATAACTCTTCATTTTCTGACAGGTGAACACACCTGTAAGGTATGAGATCCCAAAGATGTATTTGCATTATATCTTCATGCAGCTGTTTTATATGGGTTCATATGGCTTATTAATGCAACTTGCACTTGCTATCTTAAACAGTGTTTTTACTTTTACTGTTTTTAACTAATTTCATTTTTACTTTTCTGTTTTTGCTACTGTTATAAATACATACATTCCTCCACTATCACATAGTATGAGGAGGCCATTACCAGGCGACTGTGTCACTTTTTTTAAACTCTGTTGTTTATTTGTTGTTTATTGTAGAGTGTACTATTTTTTTTACTGCCTATCATGCTTCTGTAACATAAAATTCACTTGTAGGATTAATAAAGGGTTTATCTATCTAGTTAAATACTTGACAACTAGTTTCTTAATATAAAAATTATGTTGGACTTGGACATATTTTTGGGTATATATATATATATATATATATATATATATATATATATATATATATATATATATATATATATATATACTCAAAAAACAAAAAAACTGAGAGAGAGTGAAATGTCAGACTGCAGGCCTCAGTTAGCATTTTAAATGCTTAACTGTACAGTTACAAAAAGGACTTTAAAAGTATTGAAAAAAAACTCAAAACAAATGTCAAGATAAAGAAAACACAAGATATCTGGAACAAAACCAGCACATAAGCACAAAAACCCTATACTAACCATCAAGCACAGTGGTAGATGCGCGATGATTTGGCTGTGTTTTGCAGCCCCGGGACCTTGCAGCCATTGAATTAACAAACTCATCTTTATACTGAAGGATTATGAACTGAAATTGAGGCCATCTGTCTATAAGCTAAAAGTACAATGATCCCACACCACACACCAAAAAGTCTACATTAGACCGAATCAAAGGCTTTCAGTGATCCAGTCAAAGTGCTAATCCTAACCCAACCCACCTGCAATGCCATGGTAAAAGCTTAAGAGAGCTATGCATAAATGAATGACCACGAGTCTCAGTGAACTGCAGCAGCATTGTAAAAAATGAATGTTGTTATATGCAAGGATAGATGGAACTGTTGTTTGTCTGTCTCTTGTTTTCCTGGTGTAGGGCCTCCACCTATTGGCCCATTCAAACTTGATTGGTACATGCCTATATGCCTACTGATCTGGACACAGGTGTGAACAGATGTAAAAAACTGATAAAGTTATAGAAACAACAGTTACTTTAACGTATTGCTGATCATTGTAGTTTTGCAAAATGTTGAATGGGTCTACGTGGGTTTTCACACATAGCTTTACTTTTTTTGTAAAATAAATAATGACACTGTGTAAAATTTCATTGTTGTTGTTCAACAGAGGGTGTATGTACCTACGTTTAAGACCTGCTAAGGACTGGATCATTTCTAATTATGTGCTGATGCATAAAAACTTATGTTGATTCCATCCATTTCCCGACAGTGATAAGGCATAATTGTGAGTCCAATGATCTTGGCAAACAAGTATTCCTCAGATTTAGTTGGGATTTCTCTTCCAGTGTTTTGGTTCTAGACTAATTTGCACAGAGCTGCCATAATTAAAGGTTGAGATAAGATCTGTTTTGCCCAAAGGTATGGAAAGGATTTAATAATGAGATGTGGTTTGAATGTGTGTGTGAGAACAATAGCAAGCACAAATCTGAATCAACCCTAACAAAATCAGTGATGGAAGAAGATATTTAAGAGCAAATAATCAGGAAAAAAGAACAGGAAACAGATTTATACAGCAACATTTTCTCTGTGGTGCTGATGAAGGTGAGTTCTAATACTCAAAAATCTTGTTTTGTGTTGTTGTCATACAATCTCGCCATTAGGAATAGATGACTCACAGTTGACACACCATAGCAACACAGAGAGTTATTACACACATGGTGATCAAACTTTAACAACAGCATTTTTGTAGTCATCATGTGGTTAATGTTTTTTTTTCTTTCTTTCTTTCTTTCTTTCTTTCTTTCTTTCTTTCTTTCTTTCTTTCTTTCTTGCTTGCTTGCTTGCTTGCTTGCTTGCTTGCTTGCTTGATGTCTATGGAAAAGCTCAGTCACTCTAGTGAAGTATAGAACTGTGTAAAAGCTTTGAATCATCCCTCATTTCAAAATTTTGCTGTGAAAACGTTGATGTCCAGGCTCTGGGGAGGCCAATCCATGACTGATAGTGTTCCACTGCATTTTTCTATCTGTCTATATTTTTACTGCATTGGGATTTTGTTTGGGATCATTATCATGCTGAAGAATGAAGCTGTTGGTAATCAGCTGCTCTCCAGATGGTCTTGCACGGTGGCTCAAAATTTGATTGTTCTTTTCTGTGCTCATCATTTTAGCAGTTGGCAAAATCTCCAACATCTCATCAATGCAGCCGAAACCATGACAGAGTCTCCACTGTGTTTTACAGGTGGTTTTAGACACTCACTGTTGTACCTCTCTCATGACATCCTCTGTGCATAGTAATAATTAATGCAATTTTTCAAATTTGCATCATCACTCCATCAAACCTCTTCAGACCAGTTCTTGTGTAATTTGGCCTTTCTCCCGGCCTTTCTCCCGGCCTTTCTCCCTGTTTTCCTTCCTTAAGAATAAGTTCTTGACAGCTACCCTTCCACAGAGACCATTTCTGATGGGGCTTCAACTGAAGGACCAGATGTGTCTTTCAGATCCTTTATTGGTCTCTGCTGAAATTGTTTTCTATTTCTTGAGGACATGCCTTTCAAATACTGTTCATCCACTTTAAATAGATTCTTTAGGCCTGCCATTTCTACTTTTGTCTTCCATTTACCCAGTTTCATCAGTTTTGTAAGAATACACTTCACACCATACCAAGTTATATATCAAGTTTTTGGCTATTGTCTCTTTTGGAATCACTTTGTTGGTGCAAAAATGCTATATTATGATGGTCAAACTGTGTTATCTTTGGTAAAATGGGTTCTTGGCTAAGTTGTGTGTCATGTATATGATTCCTAGGTCAGTGTTAAATGACTTCACAAACAAACAAAAAGTTACTCCCCTGAAAATGGTCAGATATAAGGACTGGGCTAAAAATAAGCAGCCACTGTCCAAAGAAAACCTTTGAAAAACCTTCAGAAAGGCTGGAGAACTATTGCTCAAGACCACTTAACCAGACCAATTACAAGCAATATACGTGTTTTGGAAGTAAAATCCGAAGAAATCAAGTAGAGCTTATTAGTCTAGTTTTGGTACTTGCTCTTCCTCTTTTACGTATTTGTTTTTGTATCACAAAAGTAGGAAACATTATGGAAGAGGTATGTTTTTAATATCCAAGTACTCTGTCCTAATAAACAAAAAAGAAAAAAAAAGAGTACTGTAGTACACAGTGCTGTATTATAAGTCCTCTGCCTTTTTTAGTATTTTAGTCTCTTTTGTCCTTTGGTAACATTTTAAAGCTGTCTCAGATGAAGTAAATAAACAAAACAAAACAGGAATATATGGTGAGTCAGTATATCTCATTATTTCTGTTCCTTCTCGCTCATATATAGTTTCCCCATCATTGCTTGACTACCAATCTGAATTCTGAAAAACAGTTGCCACAGTTCTTGAAAAAAGACAGTAATTATGCAACCAGCATCCAAAGTTTCATCTCAAAAAGAGTGAACTCTTGTCCCCACTGAAGTCTTCTCTCATCCTCAAAACTTCTCTCCCCTCTCTTTCTCTGACAGTGCAGATCAAACAGCTTTGCACAGCGTGTTATGCTGCATAGCACAAAGTGACTGTGTCCCTTCTTGTGTTGAAAAGGCTCCTAGGTTTCAGGGAGCTTGTCAGTAGAAATCTGTCAAAAGTACTCAGCTGGGTTTGTTGGACTAATACCCAAAGACCATGAGGGCTTACCCCAGGAATCTGGACACTTCACAAAGAAATTAACTTAGCAAATCAAAAGCTCAACGCCCTAGCTGACACCCTAACCACAGTCCCCTTTGTTTGGTTTTAGCAGTGTACACAATACACTTCTGTTTGCTCTGCTCTATTTTCCTGCCCAGGAGTAAGCCTGAGGGTAGGGTTTGTGTGTTCTCTGTACTCACCATCCTGTCTCTCCCTCTTCACTTGTTTCTGTATGTAAGCAAATAAGCCTCCAGTCTGCGTTCCTATTGGCTTTACCCAGGACTTTCTCTAAAGAAGGGGAGGTCCTTGAAGCCAACTCAACCACACTTCCTCAAAACTTTCCTGTGAGGGTTTGCGAGTGTAACTGTCTTGATAGTGGCATAACTGTTGCAGTGTCGTTCTGATGACCATCCGGTAAATGTAAGGAGATCTAAAGGTGATCTGATATCATCAAAGACTGTTTGTCTTGGACTACATTCCTGGTGTGAAGGGTAATCCTACCAGGCAGCCTATGATGGAAAACTAACAACATTAAGGTAAAATACATATTTCAGATCAAACGATTGTTATAGCCTCAGAACTTTGTTTCTAGAAACATACTATGATTTGTATTTGAAGGGCAAGAAAACGAGACTAAGAGAAAAAGAAGCTGAATGTCCGTGTATGTTCAGTGTTTTTATTTATTAATAGCAAGCACAACTCCAGCTAAAGAAAGAGAAAAAGTTGGACCAACTACTTTATCTGTTACATTGTAAATGAATTCTTTCAAGACCAGCTTACAACATACAATTGTCTGATCTAGGAAAAATAGGCTACAACAATTGAGAACTCCTCCTTCTCTACCTGCATTGAAATAGGAGAATGTCATCAGAAACACAGGAAAGGGAGGAGATGGATGGGTGGAAGGAAAATATTTGCTTCTTTCACAGACCAAAAATGTTTTCACAGAGTGAGACTGAACTCCTTGAATTAAGCTCTATTCTGTTCCAGGTTTTTAGGCTAAACACAGGAGAATGTGCTCTCAAATCCTTTGAGCAATTTTTTTAATCGGCTCTTCCATGCGGAGCAGGTGGGGAGAGCAAGAAAGAAAAAGAGAGAGGGAAAGAGTTCACCTCAAACTATACTTGTACATTCTTTGAACTCCTGTGAAGTTTATATAAGTTACAATGCACACTCACACACACATAGGATCTTTCCTGTTTGAAATCTATCCAGAAGTGGGATACTCTGTGATTTGAAACGCTCCATTCCCCCCCCAACACAATCATGTGCTTGCAAAAGATTATTTTACTGCCTCTAAAACTCAAATCCCTGTGTTGGCTAAAGCATTTTAAAAATGTTGGTATGACCATTTTAATGACAGAAATATGCAGTTGAGTGCACTTCATTGGTCAAAAGCATGTAGAAAATCTAAGTCAGTATCTCATGACTTCAATCAATATGCAGGAAACCAAAAAAAACATCAAATTAAATGCTTTCTTTAACAATGTTTCTTGAGATATTGTTTTAATAAACTTCCAACTAAATAATCAGATGTTTATCCAAGTGACGTTATCTGTTCTCTGAATTATTTAGAATGCGACAACCTGGCGACAACCTTCTCCGTCTTCTGTTTTTGTTGTGTGTAGAGTTAAACACAAACAAGTCAGTTCCCATGGGAAAATGAGCTCAAGTCCGTTTGACTGATTCCACAGATAAACTTTTTCCCTGTTTTTCTTTCTTGTTTTTTATATATACAGTTAAAAATGCTCTGTACTAAGCAGAATCCCAATATGACTCATCATTTATACTCATCAGAACAAATAAAGTCATTACATACATACAGAGTCAACTGCAAGATTACAAGCTTTACCTACAAGTATTCTGTAAATATACTAAGGGAGGGATTTAGGTGGTTAGTGACAGCCTTTGTATGAAAACTTAAGGCCTTACATAATATATATATATATATAATGCATCGATTAAACCACCACTACGTCTAGTTGGTTGGTCAGCAGCTGTTTGTCTGGAACTTCAAGTCCCACAGGATCTTAGCCCTGTTGTTCTCAACCACCTTTGGTGCTGTGTCCCATTGGGAGTTGGGGACTTCTAGTCTATATGTAGCACAGATGTTGCTAAACACTGTCTCAACCACTTGATTGTCCTTGTCAGTGTACACTGTCCCAACTTGCGTCTTACATCCTGTTGCATAGTCTTCAACTCGGGTTCTGTCAGCTGTGGCAGACTCCTGCCTCTATAGATCTGGTGCTTATAGGGCTTGTTCTTGTGCTGCCATGATTAGAGTGTCTTGGTTGTCCTTTAGGCTGGCCTTTTCTAGCCACTAGTAGGATTTCTTGATGTCAGCCACTTTCTCTGTTGATGTATGCAGGGGCTTGGTTGTTCATGATAGTTCCTCCTCCTGTTCCTCGTTGCCATAGCCATCCTCTGAGTAGCTCATCTTGTGGACCATCTTCCTGAATTAACTGTGGATGCTTTGTGTTTCCTCTTGAATTGTGGCTCTGAACCTCACTAATTCTTACCTTCTCTCTTCCCATTGCACTTAGAACTTCAGGCATTGGGTGCAGAACTCCATGCATTTTGAGAAGCCTCACACTTTTCCAATCTGAATGACGCCCCAATGCCCTTGCAGTAGATCCTGCGAGCTAATCGGCTAGTTCACTCCCGGCATACAGCTTGATGTTATCATATGGGAGGTGAGTGAGGGTCAATCCACCCCTGAATCTATGTCCATATTCACTTTTAGTGATGAGCTAAGTTGAGGCTTACACAGAACAAAAGCTGGGATAGCGCAGCCATCTTACAGCAACCTTATTTGTGCTGCCACGTATTCATGAAGTGGTCTTAGTGTCTTCAGACAGTAGGCTTGGATCATATAAGGGCCTAGTGCTGTCTAGCTCTTCACTGCGGATACTCATTGAATGTTCAGAGCACCAGTTATGGATTTTTTTATAGTACAACTAAGAAAGAAAATATTTTTTAAAAATAAAAAATAAAAAATATTATTGTATTTCATATTTTAAAATCATCTAGTATTGACAGAAGTAAAAAGAGCTCATTGCCCATGACCCTATTGTCTCAGCTGTTTCCCTTTAGAATAATTGATACTCAAACCTCTTGATTTAGTGTCATTCTTAAAATTTAGAAACAATCCAGACATGAACTCTAAAAAATATCCATATTAGAACTACAAAATGTTATTTCGTGCTTTTGGTGAAAAAAAGGGCATAGTCATAGACACTTTTTTTAAACTGATTGAGACATTCTAGCTTTACTGTCAGTATTTCATACTTTTGTACTGTATATTTTGTTATTATTTACTACAGTGTGTCAAAATGAATAATTTTTCTTTTATTTATTCTGTTCAGGATTTTCTCATCAGCACTGGCAAGATCTTTACATACTGTAATAACTTATAACTGTGAGAGGAGTGCTTTTTCATAATGAGAGACAGATTGGTGGAGTTGCAGCAGAAGGCTCAAGAGTTATCTGTGGTTGCAACTGAGAATACCGGTCCTTTCTCAGTGGAGGATGATGATGACGACTCTGTGGCGTTTGGGGTCATAAAGCCACAAGCTGTGGTGTTTGAGGAGGAGCCAGTCATTCAGGACTTTCTGTCAGAGGTTGAGCATATACAAGATGACATTGCAGTGCTGGAAACAGAGGTAAAAATGACTAAACTAGACTTGCATTTAGCATTTGTTTATTTATTTATTACACGATATTTGCAGGATAATACTTACTATGTTATTAACGTGTGTTTCCAAATCTTACCTACAAACAGGTCCTTAAGTTCACTCAACAGCAAAAGACCATGGTGGCAACCATGCGTCGTTTTAGTGTGATGAAAAAAGAGAGCAGCATAACACGAGACATAAAGCTCAGGGCTGAAAGCCTCCACCGTCGTTTAGACAACCTTTCGAAACAGGTCCAGAAAACTATGGAGCAGCAGGGACCTACTGCTGCTTTAACGAGAATACAAAGCTCCCAACATGCAGCACTACTCCGCCGCTTCCAGCAGGTCTGGAGTATATTCTTACTATCTTTTTTTTCTTTTTGATATTTAACTCTTTCTTTCTTTTTTTCTTTCTTTGGTAGATTAGTTTGAAAAGAGTTAAAGTTTCACACACACAAACACACACACACATACACACACACACATACACACACATATATATATATATATATATATATATATATATATATAAAACACCCAGCACGCCTGCGGGCGGTTTATCCTTCAAGCTCAGGTCCTCTACCAGAGGCCTGGGAGCTTGAGGGTCCTGCGCAGTATCTTAGCTGTTCCCAGGACTGCGCTCTTCTGGACAGAGATCTCCGATGTTATTCCCGGGATCTGCTGGAGCCACTCGCCTAGCTTGGGAGTCACCGCACCTAGTGCTCCGATTACCACGGGGACCACCGTTACCTTCACCCTCCACATCCTCTCGAGCTCTTCTCTGAGCCCTTGGTATTTCTCCAGCTTCTCGTGTTCCTTCTTCCTGATATTGCTGTCATTCGGAACCGCTACATCGATCACTACGGCCGTCTTCTTCTGTTTGTCTACCACCACTATGTCCGGTTGGTTAGCCACCACCATTTTGTTCGTCTGTATCTGGAAGTCCCACAGGATCTTAGCTCGGTCATTCTCCACCACCCTTGGAGGCATCTCCCATTTTGACCTCGGGACTTCCAGATTATACTCGGCACAGATGTTCCATGTATGCCTTGCCTGCTAGCATCTTGCACCCCGGCGGAAGGGGCTACATGAATAGGATGCGGGACCTATGGATTCTTCGATATATATATATATATATATATATATATATATATATATATATAAATATATGAATACATACCACTTAGACCCCCGGAGAGCAGTCATTTTGGTTTTCTACCTTAGACCCCTGCGGAGTCATCATTTTGCGTTTCTACCTTTAAAAGCCGGAGAGCAGTCAGTCAAATGCTGGAGTCATTCATATGTATATTAGGTCGTTACCTAGGAATTCTGGAGGGAGGGGAGTGGGGTGAGTGATTGAGGGGTGGGGGAGTGGAGTGTTTCAGTTTGCCATCTTAGGGAGAAATCAACACATGTCCTTTGTATGTCCTTTGTTGCTGACATTTATTGATGAAAACAGTACAAAAAACCAACCATTTGTACACATATTTACAAATAATGATAAAAAGTGAGTGAGAACATTTCAACATTTTCAGCAATCACTCACAATCCTGGCACTGCCACGGTATCTGTCGTCTGCATTTACCACATGTGTACCTGTAGCAGTGAACACATCGCACAGTGGCCTGATTTTTTTTGCATCTGTGTACTTGGATTTTAGGTCGCAAGCCACCCAAAACTTGATCCCAAACTTGTCAGGTTTACTTGCAATATACTGCAGGAAACAGCACCGAGTCTTTGATGGGAAAAGCTGTTCATCAACGGTGATATGTAGACCAGGGTTGTAGCACGTGATGCAGTTGGTGACAAATGATCCCCACACACTGGAAATTGCAGCGAACTTATCAGTCTTTGCTCGATCACTGCGGGTGGACTTGTCATCAAAGCGTAGGTGTTGCATGATGTCTTGGAAGCGGTTTCGTGCCATAGTTCCAATTATCTGTGGGTTTCCCAGGTTTGCTGACCAGCAGTCATTTACCGATGGAACCCTGTAAACCCCCCGCAAGATGACAATTGCAATAAATGCCATTAGTTCAGGGAGGTCCATGAACCAATGAACATGCTCCATGCACCACTCAGCAGGCCATTTGTAAATATGTGTACAAATGGTTGGTTTTTTGTACTGTTTTCATCAATAAATGTCAGCAACAAAGGACATACACCCATGTGTGTTGATTTCTCCCTAAGATGGCAAACTGAAACACTCCAAGTTGGTGACTTTTGGAGATTTGTTTCCCTGGATGATTGAGAATGCATCAAGATGAAACACAAAAGGAAGCTCACCGCTTTTGTTGCTGCCATAAATGCCATTAGTTCAGGGAGGTCCATGAACCAATGAACATGCTCCATGCACCACTCAGCAGGCCATTTGTAAATATGTGTACAAATGGTTGGTTTTTTGTACTGTTTTTATCAATAAATGTCAGCAACAAAGGACATACAAAGGACGTGTTGATTTCTCCCTAAGATGGCAAACTGAAACACTGAAACACTCCACTCCCCCCCCCTCAATCACTCACTGAGTGATTGAGGGGTGGGGGAGCTGCTAAAAGCGGTGAGCTTCCTTTTGTGTTTCATCTTGATGCATTCTCAATCATCCAGGGAAACAAATCTCCAAAAGTCACCAACTTGGAGTGTTTCAGTTTGCCATCTTAGGGAGAAATCAACACACATGGGTGTAGGTCCTTTGTTGCTGACATTTATTGATAAAAACAGTACAAAAAACCAACCATTTGTACACATATTTACAAATGGCCTGCTGAGTGGTGCATGGAGCAAGTTTTGGGTGGCTTGCGACCTAAAATCCAAGTACACAGATGCAAAAAAAATCAGGCCACTGTGCGATGTGTTCACTGCTACAGGTACACATGTGGTAAATGCAGACGACAGATACCGTGGCAGTGCCAGGATTGTGAGTGATTGCTGAAAATGTTGAAATGTACTCACTCACTTTTTATCATTATTTGTAAATATGTGTACAAATGGTTGGTTTTTTGTACTGTTTTTATCAATAAATGTCAGCAACAAAGGACATACAAAGTACATGTGTTGATTTCTCCCTAAGATGGCAAACTGAAACACTCCACTCCCCCACCCCCTCAATCACTCACCCCCACTCCCCTCCCTCCAGAATTCCTAGGTAACGACCTAATATACATATGAATGACTAGCCAATTTAGCTTCCACTTCCACCATTTGACTGCTCTCGGGTTTTATAGGTAGAAAGGTAGAAGCCTGGGGATGCTAGTGATACATACATACATAAATAAATATATACATTTATCTGTATTTGATAACGTGAAAAGAAATGCAGTAAATGCACTGTGAACACTGTGAAAACTGTCACTGCACCGAAGACCATGTTTATGTTTTCTACTGATGATAAAAAACATGGGACTAAAACATCTCTCATTCTTCATACACTGTCTTCCTCTTATTTCTTTTGGCTGTAATTATTTTCAGGTAATGCGAGAGTATAATGAAGGCCTGCTGACCAAGCAAGAGCGCTGTAAGCACTTCATTATCCGGCAGCTGGAGGTATCAGGAAAACCTGTAACAGAGGAGGAGGTGGATGAGATGGTGGCCACCGGAAATTGGGAGGTGTTCAACGAGAACCTGCTGAATGATGTCAGAATCACGCGGACACAATTATCTGAGATCGAACAGCGACACAAGGTAAGGGAAGCACAAGTAACTCACTGGACCAACACAAAGGTAACAATAGATTCTTGAAGGCACCTAAAACAAGCAGCCATTCATGGCAAATAAACTAATTCAGTGTTCTTTATTTGATAGAAATTTGCTCCTTGATAAAGTTAGATATCCAGTCTGTTCATGCTGTGAATGTGAGAATCTTTAATAACAAAAATTAACAAGAGCGGTTTGAGAATGCATATGAGATAATATATCAATATTCAGCAATGCTAAACAATCCTTTAAAAGGCTCTTGGAAAAAGATCTGGATCAACTGTGGAAGCTAATAACATTGAATCTGGCCCAAACCCAACCTCTGGTAAAATTTTCATGCAAATTCATTCGCTTTTTGATTAGCCCTGCTAACAAACAGTCAAACCTAAACAAACACATATCCTCTTTAAGGGAGGTAATAAAAAAGTGCCATTTTTAGCATGTTTTACAAATACACTACATCAGCTGACACAAATGGGTAAAGGAGCAGAAAAGGTTTGTACTGGTTGTTATTCTAGACATTTATCAGAGATTCGTGTAGACCTGGGACACCAGGTGAATAAAATTGACTCCTTGAGAATAGAAAGAAGTAGTGCTCTCTGTCCTAACAAACACCTTTACAGCCAGTGTTGAATACAGAGAGATGTGTTAGTGAAACAGGACATTAATCACTAAGTATATAAAAGTCATGAGAATGTTGAGCATTTTCCCATGCTCAGGTCATGGTCTTCCTCAGCCTGCTCCTTCATTGCGTCTTAAATCTTCTGGTCCTTTCTCCCATCATCTGACTAATGTCTCTCTTACCTGCAGTATTAATCCCACTATCCTTCTCCACCAACAGGAGTTGTTGAGCCTGGAGAACAATATGAAGGAGCTTCGGGACCTCTTCATGGACATTTTCATGCTGGTGGAGGAACAGGGGGTCTTTATTGAACACATTCAGACCAATGTAGAGATGACGCAGGATTACGTGGTTGCATCTAATGAGAAGTTTAAGGCAGCTGCCAGGTATAAGAAGAGGAACCCAATTCGACAGCTTTGCTGTTGCTGCTGCCCTCCATGGCGATGCTGCTTGTAATACATAGAATAATTAGAATCATAGCTTATTGGAAAACTGATTTTACTTCATTTTACCTGTTGGAAGTAAGTAACACTGGCTTTCAGTACCGCTAAAGTGACAGGAAAGGTACTGAACTTTTGGCTGTTGAACAGAGCAACAGTGAAGACAGATTCAACAGAGCATAGAAACCAATTAGGGGGAATGGGCCAGAATTGGTATGGGAGGCACCTATTTCATTCAAGAAGGTGTGAAGCGGCTGCTATTAGAAGAGACAGTTCTGTGAGTGCTACTCACCAACACTGTTGCTTACTGGAGACCTTCACTGTCATCTGACAGAGGTCGCAAACAAGGGGAGGCCACTGACTTTGCTACATCAGCAAGACTGATATCTCACCGTTTTTCTTTTTTTTTTTCCTTTTGTCCTGCTACACAAACTCTTGATAATGACTTGTGGCTTGTTTTTAATACATTATCTGCACTTTAAAATGTCTTTTCTTTTGAGCACAAACATAAATTTACTTTAAGAGTGGCATTGAGCCATTAGATATTCATTCCAGTCTTGGTCCACATGCTGATGGAAAAAAGTTGTTTTACAATTAGTCATTAGTCTCATTTGCATTTCAAAGTAAGATCATTTTCAGTGAAAGAAAAAAGTAATTAATTTATGCACTTTCACATAGACGTATTCAAATAAAACTTTGAATAATGAGGCTTGATCAAAATATTTCTGCCATAATCACAAAACTGCAGGAAATCATCGAAGCCATTTGTGTAAAAATAAGAGCGAAAATTACATTTGAGGAAATTCATTAAATTCTTTATGTTTTGCATTTTGAGTGTTATCAATTCTTTTGGAACCGTTTCATTGTTCAGATGAATATTTTGCACCAATATGCATCATTATTAACCAGACTAATACACTACACAAAAGGGAACTGGTTTCAGAAAAGGAACCAAAGTATTACTGGGAATATGTTGACTGAAAAATAGAACCAGCAGACTCACACATGATGATAAGTAATGATCTTCTCTCCCCCATTTACTTAAGTTAACTGTATAATATTAACTAACAATCCCTGCTCATGACAAAGCCAAAAATAAGTGCTGCATTAATTCATTAATTAACTGCTGACCTTCCTCACTGGAACAGCTGAAACTCCTCTTTTTGTCTACAGTGCCAGTGATGTTCCTCAGTGAGTCATTGACCCGTGTTCTTGGGAATCCGGAACAACATACAGGTGAACTAGGTGTGTCAGAGCTAGCCTGGATAATCTGGTTTGTCTACTATCCCAGGATAGTTTCCACATAACAATCCCGCATTACTATAGGAATACTGTGTGTACACATAGCAGTTCACTTCAAACGCATGGTAAGATGACATGCCTTGGTCAAATAGTCTTCTGCTTAACTATATATTTAATTATATATATAGTTATATAGTGTTTATGTAGTGTTTAACAATAATATACATATAGTTAAACACTACAAGTATATTATAATTTTAACTCTAGCTGTAAATTAAGAATAAAATTTGATCAAGAAAATGTTAAAAAGTTACAATAATGACCTTTAAAATTTGTTTAGTAAATTACACATCTTTTTTTACAACATTCAAATGTAAAAAGATGTGTAATTTACAATTTACTTGTATTATACTGTTCCCTTAGATTTAGAAGGAGAACAGGGTGCGACATGTTTGATAGCTTCTTCTATCTGACTGAAAAAGTATTTTCCTTAATCTAATCTCGCGTGTTGTACATCAGCCTTTCCAATATTAAAAAGACATCTTGAAACCAAGACATTAATGCATGAAATACTTAAATTTAATCGTGTATATCAAATAACAATACACGACAGTGCATAGTTTACCCTTTTACACTGACATAGTGAGAAAAAATGAGACACTGCTGCAAATTGCAGGGTTACTGAACAGCAACAATGCCATCCAGTGTTCACTAAGATAATTACCAGTTTTTTAAAAAGTTATTACTTAATATGACAGGGCATGATGATGACATGACTGTGTAGTTATGAAAGTGCTGGAACAGCAAATAAACAGCAGACAGTTTTCTCCTAAAAGTGCAGAGATTTATTTTATAAATATTGGTGTGGGACTAGTAACACAAATATTACTCAGATTAGATGAACACTGCAAGGCAGTATCAAGATTCAGCTCAAACCATGATAAATACAAACAGTTGTCAGCAAAGCCTAGGAATAAAACACCTTTTTTTCTTGCATTGGTTCTATAACCAAACTGCAGAAGAATTGTGTTTTTGTGGTCTAAGTAAAAACTGTTTCATTAAAATACAGATGTAAAATATCTGTGAGATATTTGCCATGACAAATGGAATAACCCCCTTTTGACTCTAAGTTAAATGAATGTATTCACACAGCATCAGTGATTGTGACACTTAAACTTTACTATTGTGAAACTTGTACAGTATCTTATACTACTCTATTACTCTAGTAGCCCATGACAACAGCAGACTGCTTGAGAGCAGTTATCAGTTCATAAATCTATGGACATCTATTCAGACTCACCAGGTTTTACCCAAAAGTCTGTTGTTTTTTCTTCCTCCTAGCAACAACTTGCTTCAAATTCAAAAGGTTTCACTCTGTGGGAGCGGCTCTATTCAGCAAATATGTTCAGATGTTGAGAAGTTCCACTGTGGATTTATCTTGTTTACCCCCAACACTCAAGCCCTTATCCAATATTTCATCTGAAACCCTCTAGCCTGGAGCCAATGTAAAGTTTGTTCCTTTTAGCCAAATCAGATTTTCTTAGACAGTCGGTTTGCTTGGACCTGCTCCACCAGGCCTGCTCATACAGCTGTTATGAGAAATCTGGACCTAAAAGCAAAATGTCCTTACTACCCACTTGTCCAAAGAAGGACACGTTTTTCACTAGTACAGTCTAACATATGAAGCAGCATTTTTGGGGTCCTAACCTCTTAAAGGTTTTTTTTTTTTAGTTATTTTCAAATACCAGAAAATGCTGATGAAGGATAGGTCATACTTATGGTTTCTCATTTAACCTCCTAGGACCTGGCGTCCACATATGTGGACATCACATTTTTGTTTATTTAGACCCAAATACTAAATTTTGCTCTACAAGGGCCAGATATCCACTTATGAGGACATTATACTACCACTGTTCTATCAAAATTTTAAACGAATATCCTCATTTGTGGCTCTCATTTTTCTTAGAAACAAAAATTGGGTAAAAAAAAATCTGGTAATTTTTTGTTTTTACATTCATCGGGCCTCAATATGCCCAAATATCAAAGAGAAATTAAAAATGCATGCTGCGGAAGAGTTCGGGTCTTAGGAGGTTAATGCTCATGCAGTTCTCAGTGTGGTACATTTGCATGCTACCTATTCATGCTACCTATTTGTCTTTGATGTAAATATATAAAAATTGTGTATGTTTCTGTTCTGTGTCTTATGTACTGTTTGTTTGTATATGTGTCTTTCTTGCTGCTGTTACACCCAAATTTCCCCTTGTGGGACAAGGATTCTTCTTCTTCTTCTTCTGCTTCTTCTTCTTCTTCTTCTTCTTCTTCTTCTTCTTCTTCTTCTTCAATTTAGTACCACATATTCATTGTGAATAACTTTACACAATTGCCCAACGGCCCATCAGTCACGTCTGATTTAACAATAATGTGAATAGTGTTCATGGGAATTTACAATGCAGATGACTGCTGACAGGGTTGCAGTGACGTCTGTTTGTGGTTATGTACTGTACATATTTCTTCTGTCTGCCCTGTCAGTCACAACATTGATCCCAAAGACTTTCTCCAAATGTCTGTAGAACATCAAAGCAGCCCTCCGGTGAGTAACACCAGCTGTGGTTATAGAGAGCTGACATTACTTTACTGCCTGGTTTTATCACACCCATCAAAATCTGAGCACGGAGATATCAGTGCCCTCAGAAACACATAAATCACAAAGAAACTGCAGTGTCAGAGTGACACCTCCTTTGGAAATGAGTATGGTTAATAATTTCATAGCAGTGCTGTTTGGTTTCTCTGATCAGAAGGCAATGTCCAGTTTCTGATAAATTTGCACTATTTCTTGACCATATTTTATACCTTTTATGTGTGATGAAAATGAAGTCAGCATTATTGTTGGTTTGAAACAGGGCTGCTTTTAGCCAGTTATCACGATGTACTTGGAAAAATAATAGGTGAGCAACTCGGAAGGTATGTGTTACCTTAGCCCAGAGAAAAGAGCCCATTTCTCAAGGTACAACTTTGCACAATGCCCCAAAAATGCACTAGTTAAACACTAATTCTCTCCATGCATTTCATTGTGTGATTTTTCGTAAGCAGTGTGTGAGCAGTCTGAGGCATCAGATTTAATTCTGTGCGGCAGATGAGTTCGGCTTCAGGGATCTTATGTTACTTGACCGTAATGGGAAGTAGTGAGCAGTGAGCAACTTTGGAAACAGAGTGTATGGTTCATACCCAATCAGTTAAATGGTAATGGTGTTTCCTTTCCTGTTTTCTCTCTCCTTTTTAAACTTTTGATTGGGTGGGAAAGACACACAATGAGCCCCTGTCCATAGCTCTGTCCAAAGCTGTTGCCAGCCTAGGTTTGAAACAGGAAATGAACAATGCTTTGTTTGGCCACTGAGGTGCTCCAGTCTTCTTTAGTCTAATATAGTCTTTATACATGGTTTGCCTCAATCATATTTATAACAAGAGTTGAGGGAAATGTCATAGTGTTCTCACAGAGATATTTTTAGGGTAGGTCAGTCTTCATTAAAAAAATGAAACTGAAATTGTTTGAAAGAACATAATCTTAATATATAATTAAATTTTAAGGATGGGCTCCTGGTTTTCAGGTGACATTTCAGTTTTAGTTCTGGCCATCAACTTTTGATACACATCAAATATGATATAAAAAAAAAAAACCCTGAAAATATCCTAACTGAACCAAAGGAAAATAAAATCATTGGTGCTTTAAAGATTACAACCATTTGTAATAAGTATCAGACAGAGTAGTTATGATCAGTGTTGGTCAAGTTACTTGAAAAAAGTAATCAGTAACTAATTACTGATTACTTCCCCAAAAAGTAATCCCATTACTTTACTGATTACTTATTTTCAAAAGTAATTAATTACTTAGTTACTTAGTTACTTTTTAAAAACACGATTTACAACCTGAAGAGGTGATAAAGCGATAGATCTTTCAGCCCAATTCTACTTTTTCTGCATAATCCATCATACAAAATGTAATCAAATGGAAAAGTCTCTTTTTTTAACTTGTTTTATCAGTTTTAATATTTTAACTTTATGCATCAAGCAAAAATTTCATTATATGCAACATTCTCTGACTTGAATAAATTAGTTTAACATTTAAACCTATTTTCTACACATTCCAGCGCATAAAATAAAATATTTTTTGTGTTTACACTCAGTCTTTCAAATATATGCAAGTAAAACACTATTTTCACCTGTAAAGCAGGACTGCAGTAGGCGGAGGTTTACCCTGGTGCAGGTGTGCCGCGGTCAGTTGAAGAATCCGCGAGTTTCTCTGTGAATTTCCCATTACGTCGTTGCGCACTTGGTGCTTGCTTGGAAGTTTAGGGGTTTTTTTCGCTGTAAAAAGAAGTTTTCTTCACACGCACGATGGATGCTAATGTTTTTGTCACTTTTTATGGAATCAAACTCAAAGTAAGGTCAGTACTTCCACGCTTTAAACGCTGCACGCTCATACTCTCTCCCACAATCGATATGTGATCCATTGTTGATCTGCACACAGCTGTTGTCACTAACGGCGCACTCGCT